GTATATTTAGATATTTTATTGACATAAACATAGTAAAGTCCAACCAAATTAATAAAATTAACTTTACAATAAATTGAAGGAATTGTAAAGAAAGACCTTGGATCGGAAGAGTTGTTTAGTAAAGGCAATCTATAAAATGTCAACAATTTTAATTTTTTTTTTTCAAATTTAAATATGTTCATAAAAAATAACACAATTTAATTAGACTAATTTTCCTGATAATCGATCGGGAAAATCATTAGAGTACGATTTCTTTGATGAACTAAAGCAATGTTATTCGGCAAGTGAACAAATTTTAAAATCAATGTATAAAATTCACTGTAACGTTGCTAAGACTGGTCCGATTTTGACCTTTTTTTTAAATATAATTCCCTAGAAAATTTAATTATCTTTTTAAAAAAATGATCACTACATACTATATAGATATTACTGTAATTTTTCAGAATGGGAAAACCTAACAAAATAAATAGTTCTCTTGTATTTTTCCTTTTTTGGCACTAATAGTGAAACATCGAAAAAACGGCATTCAACCTTCAACTACCTCATTATTTGACAGGCTGAATACTGAATTACAATTTATTAAAAATTGTTTGAATCTGAATTAAAATTAATTTATTTAAAATCTTTTGCAATTGGGTACAGTCAGCGTAACATTAATGTGTTAACTAGAAAACAGTCTCTGTTTATAAGAAAAATATCGCTTCAAGTATAACGATTTGTAAAACATTATCTTTCAGTAAAAAATGTATTTATAATTATTCTTAATTGAAAGCGATTAGTTAAATAATTAATAGCTTGTCGGTTCAATACAAATTACTTCATTAAAGTTGAACTTGGTAAGTCTAGAACCTAACTCCATTACGGGGTGACGCTGTTACGTTGTGCCCGCGTGGTTGAGTGAATATTTTATTGCCTTAATTGGCATTTATTGTCTGTTAATTGATGAAATTGGCATACAATACTGTCAGAAATATTCATTGTTTTCCTCTAATAATTAATGTTGTCAAACTCAAAATTTTGGCGTGATCCCATCATTAATTATACATTAAAAACTGAGATATTTATGTAAGCTGTATTTATATTTGCATAATACACACTTTTTTTTTTTGTATATTTGTTTTGTTTTTTTGTGTGTGTATTGCAGATTAAGGCCAAGTATTTTACAACAAGAAACTCAAGCATTAAATCAGCAAAGGTATGACATCTCTTGTTTATTTGAAATGAAATGAAAATATAATTTTATTATCCTGGGACTGTAGTCCCTTTAGGACAAATTGTAGATACAGAGCAAATGCCTGTGTGGCCATAAGATTAAATTAAATATTTACAATTCTCATTAAAATTAAAATATTGGAAGAAAATTAAAACAAAAACACTAAATAAATACAGATAAATATAATACAAACATATGAAAATAAAATAAACAAAATCATTATTGGGAGAACTTAAACATTTCTCTTATCTGCTCTTCTTGATCAGTCGGGTTGGGAAAGAAGTAGGTGCTTAAAAAGGAGAGATTTAAATGAGGAAACTGCTTTTTTATTATTTATACTGCTTGGAGATGCAGACCAGTCAGATTTTTTAAAACCAGTAAAATTTTCCCGGTTTGGTGCTTTATACTACTTCATCGGATTAGAGATAATTTACAAACGCGATTACCTTGCAAAAGATCGGGTGATTCAAATTTTTATTTTCTAATGTTTTGTGTATCGTGAATCTAAAAATCCAAATTATCGGTATTGAAAGACTTTTGACGCACTGATAGACGCAGTGCTCTAAATATCTGTGCGATTTTGATGGATTACGTTAAACATCTGTTTTATGGTGGTAGGTGGAGCATGGTGGATTGTCTTCATTTTGATACTTCATAGCTTGCAATGATAAAGGTTTTTATTTATTATTCTTTAATCTTCCGCCAGTTTGGTGCTTTCTATTTCTTCATCAGATTAGAGACTCGCAAGAGATCATTGTAATCCGATAACATGTATGTTTGTTTCATATTTTCTTCTTTCCATACTGTAAAATTTACAATCTGTCAATATGTTTGACTTGAGCTGTTACATTTTGGTGAGTGTTGAACTTCCAGCAAGCGGCTGTAAGATTCCAGAAATTTTTCGATTCAGAACGTGAGCCCACTTTCGTTCTAGTTGAAATAGATATTTGGTTCTAAAAATTTTATGGCTAAGGCATAGCGTGTTTGTAAGTAGTTTTCTCAGCAAATTTTTAATTTTTTTTAATTTTTAAATTTTTAAAAGGGAAACAATTTTAAAATCTTAAAATAAATAAAAAAGGATTTTACATGTGAATCAATTGTATTAGAGATATTGAACTTTATGAATTAAAGTAAATATCTTTTATATAATAGTATGTTACATTTTAAAATTAACATTTCACATGTTCACTCATGCATATTTATTGAATTTAATTCACGTTTAAATAATGATTTAATAATTTGATTATTATTGTTTGAAATATATTGCCCTTCAACCCGCCTAGGCGAAATCTCTGGTATGACTAATGATGATCATTTTGATGATTAATGATGATGATGAATAATGACCTGGTTCAGGAGCCAAAAAAAAACGTTCACTTTTGTTTTACTAAGTAAAGCTTTGATCAATAATTTCTTGGGCAATAATTAACACTGTAATATCATGCTATTATAATCTCGATAAGGGTGGCTGTTACATGCTTGTAATATTTAACATGGCCAGAAACATACTACAACAAGATGATTAGCGAATGATTTGTTGATTAACAACGCAATTAAAAAAAAATTAAAAGATGATGTAATGGCGATCATCATCTTGCTCAAATTGTTTAAGAAGACAAACTATGACATAACGCAATATTTGACAATAAATCCTCTGGTCTAGAGGAGAAAACTTATTTTAAAAAAAGCTTTAAAAATTTGTTCTATAATTCATTCTAAGTTTACGTTTCGAGATACAATTCCCATCTTCAGAACGATATTCCCGTCTTTCATAAGCAATTAATAGCTAATACTTTGCGTGATCCTTTCCCCTCTCATAAATATGTTTTTCAATCTAAAATTTCAAAAAGATTTTAAGAAAATAGCACATGAGAAAGAACGTCTCTTAATAGAAAAAGAAATATCCCCTTGGACCTATATACAACCAAAATTAAATCTCCAACTCACCAAATTCACCAAATATAGTACATTACCATTAAGTTTCACAAACTAATCATCACATTACCAGAACATCTTAAGATATTCACCGACGGATCTAAAGCAGATAACATATACTGTATCAGCATTTGTCATCCTTCATACTTCCTACAAATATAAATTACATAATCTTTGTTATGAGATTAACGTCATCGCAATGAGTCTGCGATACGTCATGAAGAATCCAGTTGCAAATGTTGTGGTATCGGATTCCCTAAATACTCTGAAAGCCATGAATAACATTTATCCAGACCATCCAGAGATAAACTGCATTTTAAATCTTATAAAAATGCTTTATGGAGTTGGAACAACGGCACATTTTATCTGGTCGTCTGGCCATACTTGCGTTAAAGGAAACGAAATGGCTGAAGAGCAGCAAGAGACATTTTGACATCATCTGAACTTGCACGACCTCTAAGAGAAACCATATCCCAAGAATGGCAAAGACAGTGGGACAACATTGCACCTAGCAAATTAAAGACAATAAAGAAAGAGGTTCAACCGTGCACCAGCTCCAGACGCAGCAGTCGTAGAGAAGAAGTCGTCCTCACTCGGCTGAGGATCGAATATACCAGACTGACACACCTCCACCTCATTACAAAAGATCTTATCCCCAGATGTCAAAAGTTTGACCAGTCATTAACTATAAAACATGTTTTGGAAAAGTGCTCTTTTTACACCGCAAGGTTAATAGATCTCGGAATACCCCATAATATATCAGCATCACAAGCGGATCCAGGATTTAATTTTGGGGGGGGGAGGGCTTCAGCCCGAAAGCTTTTTTTTTCATAAAAATGACGATAATTACTTTGGAAAAAAAGAAATAAACTAACTAGCTACATGAAATGGCGTTTAAGTGATTTCTAAAGCTATTTTAAATTTAATTACACGAACAATAATACTTTATGAGATAATTTTTTAATATTTTATTCGATAAAACATGGTTATATTTTACCATTTTGGGGGAGGGGGCTTCAGCCCGAAAGCCCCCTCGTAGGTCCGCCCGTGATCAGCATCACTGGGAAATCAAGAAGAAATCCCTACCAAAGTTATGAAGTTTCTAGACAATGAAAAAAATTATAAAATTCATGTGACAAGTTAACTAGTGATCCTTTGCAAATTTATTTATAATTTTTTTATTTTAAAAGTTCATTTATTTATTAATTTCAATTCATTTATTGATTTTATTGCTATTTTTTTAGATTATTTATTTATCTATTCTATCTTATCGTCTATAAGTGTCTATTATTATCATTATTTGTATCTTTTTTTTTTATTTTTTGTAACAACCACATGAACAGTATAAAAGTAGTGTTATTTAGTTGATGGGGCGCTGATGACCTGCATGTTTTGCGCCTACACATCGAAACAACAAACAAAACAAATCAGATTAATGTTAAAATTAATTTAACTTTTTAATAAATCAGAGTAAAAAGAAATTCAATTATTTTATATTTTTACAAATTATAAATAAATGAAACAAATCCATTTAAGAAATCCTCTCATGGGCTTGAACAGAGGTCTTCTCTAAAGGGTGTATAGGTCTAGACTTTCCCAGGTGAAAGCCTATTGATTACTGTTTATTATTTAGTGGATTATTTTCGTAATGGAGAAAAAAAAATCAGTTTGCTTTCCTATAGTAACAAATAATGAGCTTTAAAATCAACTGTCAAAGATCCTCGTTATGACGAGACATGTTTATCTCAAAAATGATATTTAATTTATCAGGTGTAAAAAAAAACAAACTTAATAGCAAATAGTGCTATCGTGGTCTGAGTAATATTTACCTTATCGATTGAGCTGAGCTTAATTAAACGTCGGGGTAGACGTAAATCAAGCGATGAGGGTGAAGTGTCCAATTTATTGCCGCTAATCGTACTGTCACACCAAACGACAATCTATTGTTTGTCTAGCGCAAAATTGAGTAATAGTACCGTCAGTGATTATGATATCAATTAAAAATCTTATGTCAATAAAACATCTAACTGTGCCTAATCTGTAGCGTTTTTCTAAGATCTAATGTGACATGCTTATTAAGCACCAATAAGCTAATAGCTGACCGCAAAACTCTTGCGCAAGAACAAAACTGAGTGCGCAAGACCACGAGTTTTGGTCTCGCATTTGTTTCTTTATTTTAAAACAATGACAAGTAATATCTCTTATAGTAATAATAATAACCTTTATTTGTGCATACAATGGATAAAAAAATACAAAATCTCTTATTTGTACAAAATCAACTTAGTTGAGGTTTTGAGTTCGATTTTTTTTTTTTTTTAACTTTCTTGTAACCACACTAGGTAATGAACCTGTCCCACCTTCCCTTTCCTCTCCAATGCTACTCTCTTCCAGGCTGCTCCCCCGCAGGTCTTCTTCACCTCCTTGTCCAAGTCTGTCGGCGGGCGTCCTCTCTTCCTCACGTGCTCTCTTGGATACCAATCCATAAACTGCCTGGTCCATGTTAATTCATTCCTCCTGATTACATGTCCGGTCTAGGTCCACTTCCTGATGAGCACTTTTTCCACTTTATTGGAAGGTCAGTCTTACCTCTGATCCATTTGTTTGTTTTTCTATCCCTTCGAGTTATCCCCAGAAGATATCGCTCCATTCCTCTGACGGTTATCCTCAATTCGTGGCAAGTCTTCTGGTCGATTGCCCATGTTTCACAACCATATGTCATGACAGGAAGTACTGTGCTCACCCAAAGTTTTCTCTTGACCTGTGAGCTCACCGAGGATCTATATATATATCCTTAAATTTGAAGAGTGCGCGCCATCCCTGGGTACATCGCCTGATTATTTCTTCATTTTGTCCTTTAATTGAGATAAGGTGCCCAAGATATAGAAATCTCTTATAGTATGTAGTGGTAACATTTTTAAAAAGATTATTAATTTCCTATACAAATATATATATATATATATATATATATATATATATATATATATATATATATATATATATATATATATATATATATATATATATATAAAGGTCTAAATCAAACCAGTTTTAGCAACGCTACAGTGTTTTGAATTTTATACACTGATTTAATAATCGTTCTTTGACGGTTTACAGATCTTTAGTTCATCAAAGAAATCTTAGTCAAATAATTTACCTGACGGGTTATCAGGAAAATGAGTCTAATTTAATTGTGCCTAATGGATATATTTACTATTGAAAAAGAATTGTTTAAAACCGGTAGGAAAGTCGTGTGAGTGAACACACCAGATTTATCATTTAAGTAATTGGTGACATTGTATAGATTGTCTTTACTCAACATCTTTTCCATTTCACGGTGGGGTCTATCATTGTCTTTTTTGATAATGCTTTTAATGTATTGTCGAGTTAATTTTTATAATTTGGTTGGACTTTCCTATGTTTTTGTCAATAAAATATCTAAATATACTTATTCTGTAGCGTTTTTCTAAGATCTAAAGTAACACGTTTAATAAGTAGCAATAAGTTAATAGGTAATTGCAAGACTCTAGTGAGAATCTAGCTCAAGTCTCGCATTTAGACAACACTAATATTTATACATCCTGAATTATCTAACATTATTCTCTCGTAATACTTATTTGATATAGTTGTATTCACTCAATTATTTCATATGAATGCATAGTATCTACTTTACTTTAAGTGATTTTTCATTAATTTTTGTATTTTATAAAATAGAACATTGTCTTTCAGAATCATTCAAGGAGTTTTTGGTAAATGGTGATATTTTTGTTATATTTATTTATTTTTTAACTGTTTTTGAAGGGTTAACAACACTCAGAACTAAATTTGTATTTCATCATTTTTGTGTTGACTCAATTTAGAACGGCTTGAAGTGACTTGAATTTTGGATTAATTGGCTTCCAGTACCGTTTCTTTTTTTTTTTTAATGGTTCCGTAAATGTAAAATTAAAATAACCGCCTCCAAATTAAGCCCCATCAGCTTTCCCCTGCGGAAATTTTATTTGGACAAAATAAATTCTTAGAACAAATAAAGTTGAAGAGAAGAGAACTGACAATGGAACTGTCGTCAACCATACTGTGCAATGTTATCAGATTTCATTATACTATGCAAAGATATTTGTAAAAATAGCAATTTATTAATTCGTCATAATTCTACAGTGTATTATATATATATATATATATATATATATAAGTTATGATTATTAGTATGAAAAAGATTGAATCAATATTAGCAATGAGATTTTATAACTTTTTTATTGCAGGTTAACCTTATCAAACAAAAACAAACAATATCAATAATCGATCACATGTTAATATATCTTAACACTAAAACATATTTTATATTATGCTAACTTCCTCCCTCCAGTTCCTTCTTAAGGAGGAACTCTAATACTTTAAACAAAAGAAAAACTGGTCTATATTTTAAATTTAAATGATAACAGAAAATACTTGCATTTATCTGAAACTTGAAGAATAACAGAACTGTTTACACATATTTATACAAGCAAAAAAAATATTATATAAAACAAAAAAAAAATTATCTAAATTGTACAAAACACATTAAAACTAATTACTGATTTTTAACGACGTGGAGTTTCTTGTTGAGCGCCGCAGCCAGACTCGAGACCTGATACTTCTCGGGGTACACGAAGTTCTTCGAGATGTACCGTACGTGATCTGAACGGGTATTTTACGTCCCGAATGGTAAACAAATTATTCTCCCTGATGGTTATAATTTTATAGGGGCCCTCGTAGCGTGCGGCAGTTTTATTTCTCGCTGTTCTCAGCCGCCTGTACACAGTTGTTCCTAATGTTAGCGGACCCTTGCTATAAACTACGGAGCGATTATTCGCGCGGTCCACGCGAGTCTGTTTTTCGCGAATTAGTTTTTCTCTAATTTTTTTCCACGACGTCTGTCGTTCTACTCGAGCTTGATATAGTGCCTCCCATAATTTATTATTATTAGTTGTGATGAGATCTCCTCTATCGCGTCGCCTTTGACCAAAAACGATTTCTACTGGAGATAAACCCGTCGCTGCATGTATTGTATTGTTGTAGGCAATCACTGCTCGCGGCATAGCGTCAAATGGATCCAAATTTCTTCCTAGTTTAAATAATCTAAGGTGTTCACCTAAAGTGTTGTGTAATCTTTCCACCGCACCTCTCCCTTTGATGTGATGGGGGGTGTTTAGTCGCCAAGTGATGTCCAGCGTTTTACATTCATTTCGAATAAAGGCATTGTCAAATTCTCGGCCACAGTCTGACACAATTTCGTCGGGCACACCATAAATCGCGCACCATTGCAAAATCCCTTCCCATACTGCTCGGGGTTTTTTCTCTTCAATGGGATGAGCCAAAGCGATTTTACTAAACGTGTCTAACATTGTTACCCATGATTGACCCTCGTTAGAATAAATGTCTACTTGTATTAAGCGTAGTGGTTCTGGTGCGGTGGGCGAGACTACTTGTTCAGCTACCGGAGGTTGTCGATCATATTTCGCCCGCTGACAGACTTCACACTTTGCGATATAATCCCGTACCGTTCGGCCCATATTTTTCCAGAAATATAATAATTTCAGCGCCCGCAAGGTCTCTTCCATTCCCCGATGGTTCGTTTTGCCAGTGTGGTGATCATTGACAATTTTCTGTTGTACCGCCGGTTCGGTAACTGTTTCTACTTGTCGTAAGCACCTAACGAGTGAATAGCCCATTCCTATTCTCTCTTGTCGCCATAATCTTTTCATTTTATCGACAATTGCACGATTTCTCACATAAACATAACATGTACGGCCCCGTTGACTAAATTCTGTGAAAATCCTCTCTAGCTCGTTGTCGTCTATAGATGCAGGTGTATGGACTAAAATCGTTGATAACCCCGCGTACACACTCGCGTGTGTTTCCAGCCCCGGACTCTGCTTCGATTTTATGATAATTTGAAATTTTTTATCATTTATAACCTCGTCGACTTCGGGTATCTCTTGTGATCTGTCTATTTGTGTTCTAAGGATTTCCTCCATGTCAGGTTCGGTAGGTATGTCCTCTTCGTCAATTGCATTTACTACCAGCTCCCGCGACAACCAGTCGGCGACTACATTGTCAACTCCTTTTTTATGAACAACATGGAAATTATACGCCGCGAGGCGTTCTTTCCATCGTGAAACCCGCGCGGATGATTCTCTCAGAGTGTCTAAGGATAGTAGGGGTTTGTGATCAGTGATCAGTTCGAAACGTCTTCCGTATATATAGGGGCGAAAGTATTCTATTGCCCACACTACCGCTAATAATTCGCGTTCGATAGCGCTGTAGCGACGTTCGGCGTCACTTAACTTTCGGCTTGCATATGATATCGGCTTTTCTCCTATTTCATAATTCTGTGACAATACGGCCCCAATAGCAATTTCACTCGCGTCTGTGGTAACTTTAAATGGCCTGCGGAAGTCGGGAAAAGCTAACAGCGGACGAGTGGTAAGAATCTCACGACATTTCTGAATACTCGATAATTGCTCCGGCCCTAATTGAAATCTCCTCCCTTTCTTTAATATTTCTGTTAACGGGTGAATTATTTCTGCTATTCCTGGAATGAATTTCCGATAATAGTTAACCATACCTAAAAAACGTCGAACTCCGCGAGCATTCTTAGGTAATGGTGCCTCCCGAATACCTTTTACACGTCCTTCATCAGGTTGTACCCCGCTGGAGGAAACTACGTGTCCCAAAAATTTAATTTCCTTTAACCCAAATTTAGATTTTTCACGGGATAATTTGAGTCCGAATTCGCGTACTCTGTTGAAAACTTGCTTTAGATGTTGAACGTGTTCTTTCTCAGTTTTGCTGAAAACGATAAGGTCGTCCATATAGACTTGGAAAAAATCTTCACCTAATCCTCTCTGTAGCTCGTCCATGAGTCTTTGGAAAGTTAATGGGGCCCCTTTTAACCCGAATGGCATCCTGACAAATTCAAAATGGCCCCGTTCCCATGAGAATGCTGTTTTCCCGATATCCTCCTCCGCCATTCTAACTTGGTGGTAACCACTTTTGAGGTCCAGAGTACTGAAAATATTTGCTCCCGACAGTCGATCCAGTATATCCTCTACCCGAGGAAGAGGATAACGTTCGTCTTTTGTCGCTTCGTTCAGCTTCCGGTAGTCTACTACTACTCGATATTTCTTTGGTTCGCCTTCCTGTTCACCTGGTTTCTTCTCAACTACCCATAAAGGACTATTAAACGGGGAATTGCTATATCTGATAATTCCTTGTGTCCGTAACTCTTCCAATTGTTCTCGAATAATTTCTCTCATGGCTTGGGGATACCGCCTATCCTTAACGTAGATTGGGAATTCGGTCTTCAGGTGAATTCGATGTACCGTTTTCCCCGTTGTTGGCAAAACTTCGTTTTCTTTGTAAAATAAATCTTTGTTTTGTTTCACTAAATGTGTAATTGCCTGTTTTGTACATTCCGCGGCCCCGATTTTAATGTCTTCGTGAT